TTCGCACGGGTGCATTGTATTACGCATATAAACTTTCCTCATGAAATACTCTATCTAGTAAAAAAAAACCGCATCAAGATCCGTTGAGGAGTTTTAAAGATCTAAGCATACATAGGGACAGACAGGCAGCGGGACGACTTTGTTTTATACTATGTAGTGATAGTAAAGTGTGAAATCCAGAGATACGCAACGGACACGTTGGCGAAGTAGCTTCTTACACCTGCTTTAAATTTGTGGTCTTTACAAAGCTGAACGTTGGCAATTGTTTTTTTGTTTATTAAAACATCTCTTAACTTTTTAAATTTAAATTATAGTAATAATTTAAAAAAATATTGTAAGTGGTTCCACAATTGTATAACAACCTTCATTTAATTTGATAATAGTAAATTTAGGCAAAATTTTAACTAATTCATTGTTAAATCATTAAGTTATTATTTCTTCTACGTCTATGTCGACATTAAACATAGAAAGATTAAAGGGCAACCCATGAAGACGTATATTCATATGCATATATTTATTACAAAGAGAGATGATTAAATGAAATACATTTAGTAAAGCTACGGCATCTAATTACACCATAAGTATTAAATGTCAGGCGCGTTTTGTTCTCCGTTTGCGCGCGAAAAGGGCATCTCCGTGCCTTGCGTTCAAATACCTAACCTTGACTACTATTGGACGATAACAATAAGAGTAGGATTCTACTCTCAAATACTCCAATACGAGGCCTAACCTACGCTTAAAACACTACATGGCCGGTATCTTGACTTGCACTAACAAAAGCGGCAACACTTTTTTTCATTAACTTTCCGTTTTTTGTTTATTTTCTATATTCTATATTGCAAGGAAAAAAATTCACACGCGGCATTTGACACAAATTTTCAAGATCACTCATCCAATTACCTTATCCCAGTGACGTTAACTAATTATTTATTATTCGCAACACGAACACGTGACAAGCGGCGAACACGTTGCCACAAAAGCATGTGGCACTGTGCTTTTTCCATGTGATTTTCCCGAATCTTGTTAGTATTAACAAGAATTCGAACTAAAGATCTCGATTAATCAATTGCTTCTACATTTAATTGTATCAAAATTATAAATACCTTAACCGAACTAAATACGTGGACGCGTCCATAATTCAAAAAGCTTTATCGACACTACTGTGCACTATTTTACTTTAACTTTATCGTAGTATTTCTATCAAAACGTTTTTATATCCACATTCCACATGTATAAATACGTCGCAATACAAATTTGTAATGAAATGTCTTTGCCATGTCGTGCTCTTTGATGAAATCCTATTAGAAAAGAAAACACATAGAGGTGCGTGGAACCAGAGATAACGTCATTTCGACAGGCCGAAATGTAAAACCTAACTTATGTTTTAGTTTAAAAAAAAATAGCATTTTGTAATAATTGTAACGGCATTTGGCAACGAATTCTCGTGGTCGACCGTTGAGCAACGCTTTCAAAATTGTTACGTTTATTGTGTTACAAATTAACACGTAGGTGAATAGATGTAACAAGACGGAAAACTTGATATATGTGTGAAACGTGAAATGTAGAGGTTTTATGTTCGATCAAAGATGACACCTTAACCTCTTGCTCCTTTACATACAATACCTAAATGTAGTAGAAGTACACCACTACCGCTTTCTTATTATAATCTTTACAACATTGACTTAGTTATAATATTTCCAGTAATGGCTCGTGATAAGATGTTGTGTTTTTATTTCCAGTGAAGTAAAATAAAAGCCTCCCTGTTATTCTTGTACCTTTGTGTTTTCTCAAACTTGGTAATAAAGTATCTTTGATTTGATTTATTTACACCGCGTTTTCAACTATCTAAAAAATCAAGCAATTAGTTATTATCAGTTAATTATACTGTTTGAATTTAATAAAAACACACTATCAGTTAATTATACCGTTCGAATATAAAAAATCAATATCAATTTATGTGATCATTTTAAAAATATTTTCACACAATATAATATATCTGATTTAAAACCAAACGACTTACGACCTCGGAGATCATGTAAACAGTTAACTTGTTTTTGGGTCTTTAACCTGTACCGATCTTCATGCATCAGGCATTTGGCGTGAAGCCTATACATTACGTGACTTGTGACATAGTCGTAAATCAATCTGAACTTACTCAATCAAATACGTGCAGCGAGTACAAACGATGTAATGATACATAGTTTTGAAGTTTAAAAGAGCTTGCAACAAGCGTTGATTGACAAAAGGAATTACGACTTTGACTTTCTCGAATAAAAGCAGAAGATTTAGATTTAATACAAAATCAATCGTAGACTGAGCATGACAGCTCAGCGTCCGGGCGCTTGTTTTTAACCGACTTCAAAAGGAGGAGGTTCTCAATTCGATTGGTATATTTTTAGTTAAGTAAACTCGAGTAACCTGGATGTCGTTGCCATTGAAATTGTTAATTTCCATTTAACTGTCCAGCGTATGTCAAGGAAAACATCGTGCTACGCACTAATACTTCAGAACAGAATAGGTCTTTGCCCAGCAGCGGGACATACATAGGATGTTACTTAACTCAGGTTTATTTCAAATTCTAGACTTTCCAACCGATCGAAAATACAAGTACATTGAAAACAATTAGAAGTAGCATATCGCTCGTTTAATTAAAATGAGATCGTCCAGAAACTCTTATTGTAATCTTTAATAATTAATTATTATTTATGTAAAATTTTGTTATTCAATGTGTAACAGAACTGTAATCCCTCAAGATTTCTTATGTAAAAAGGACGAGTAGATGATATTCATTATTTGCTTTTGTTACACAAGCTGACAAACGGTTAATAAAATAGCTCACCCGATGTGCCGACTGGCTCATATATATATTTTTTAACTTTTATTTTCAACTTAGGTTTAATTATACAGTCATAAAGGCAGTAATCTATGTCGTAATCTAGCTCAGAAATTTAGACCCGTGTTTAATGCTTACATATTTTTATAATTACTTTGGTAAAATTTCTAATAATGTACAAACTTTCACGTTTTTACCTAGCATTATTATGGATTTCACTAGTCTGGGAACTGCGGTGATAAGAAACTCCGTGCTAACTATCAAGAGATATCAATGGACTTCCACAACTTTAAAAAGGTCCTAGTCATGCAATATCATTACTCCTAACTTAAAATCTTCGCCCGTATCGAACTGGGGCCCGATGGGTGAACACAAAACTCACGGTTGGGCTGAAAGCCGCCACAGTGGTGGTGAATGTAAATCGAGTGTTTATGCAAATACAACCTTTACAGAATAGGCAGATGCACATTACATATAAACGAAACGTCGCGAGAATACGAACGTACGGAAAGGTAACGAAGCTTGTTAATGTATTATTTTGAATGGTAGAAATGTCTTATATATACGAAAATACTACATGGTTCAAGTTCAGTTCAATTCAAAAGTCAGTTCGAGACTTTCCAGAATATGTTTTAAAAATACGCGATAAAATCATCGATACCTTCATTTAATAATGAAAAAATGCATAAAGTAGCATACACATATGACACTTGGGGAGCGTCAAGCAGGGAGATATATACTACAATATGATTAATTTCTTTTACCTAAAAATACGTTAACGCTTTTCAAATTCACTAGTGCTCGAAACGTCCTTGGGAAGGGGTGATCAATCAAGATTGCCTCTATTTTGTGCGATTTCCACTGCTTCCGTTTAAAAATATTAATTAGATATTCGGCACTAGAAAAACCCTATGCACAATATATTATTGTATGAAATATAGGTAATACACCAATCTTTGCGTCGAGGCGTCGGTAAATCTTTTTGTTATAAACATTGTCTTTCACCATTTATTGACAAATGATGAATATGATCGCGCCTTTGTTGACCCTAACTTTTCAGTGTTATATAAGATAAATGTTTTGGAATGTCTCCTGTTTATAGCAGTTTTGTTTATGCCGAAATCTTTAACTAACACCGCTAGAATTACGCCTACATTAAGTAACCTGAGTACAGAACTGTGATTAATGAAACGGTAATTATATTATTACAGTCGGGCGAAAGTGTTCTAGAAAGTATTCAATATTTATTACCTGTTAAATGTTATTAATTGACGACCGACACGTGTAATTTGCACACGAGTCACGTTTGATACATGAGGACTCCGCATATTTATACCTCGCATTCTTATGTTCATTCACTTTAAGTCAGAAGGCGATAAACAAAAAGGTGGCTCGCCCGGCTTAAATGGCGTAACGCCGACCATGGACATACCTCCTGTGGTTTGCAGTAGCTTTGCCAAGTATTTTGAAGGTTGTAACAGGTAACCTCACTCGCCAGACGAGAGAAAATATACTTCTACTTCACGCCGATCTTCTGTGACTCCATTAAACAAGCCTCCCTATCTGTGTATCGGAAGAAGCCGCCTCTGAGCTTGCATAGGCATTTGTAGTCCGTATGTAATATACCTTACAATATTTCTATATTTGCCCCTAATTAAACTATAGCAATAATAGAGCCAGCTTTGTTTTTCTCCTCCTCCTTGTTTTATATAATATTGATGGACGTGATCTGTTTCAATAAACTTGAGAACTACACAACTATCATACTCTACTCCCGAATCGTTTTTTATATCATGTAATCATATATATCTTCGGATAGCCCGTGGAGACCAAATTTGTCTACATTGACACCACAAAGGCATTGGTGTGGTTGACAAATCGGTGCCCCCAGACGGATTCCTACAGCAATGCGTCAGCTTTCATCGTCAATCAATGTGCCCAAGTTACTTGATGGTAAAGCGTGAAGCCAGTAACTCGATTCTTTAGATGAGACGCCTAGGAAACGGGCACGCTCTAAATTACTTTCTAAAGATTGAAACGTATCTCTCTGTATTCTCCGCACCAAAGGAACATCCCACTGTTTTCTTTGAAACGTACTTTTTCTTGTTTTAGTGTTGTTGTCGTTACAATTTCATGGCAAAACGGTCCATTTAGTATAAATACACACCTGTATGCGTGGACGTGAACGGGGCAGCCCGTTATAGGGTTGTACAGCAGTAGCACGCACGCCACCACATCTCCCTGCACCACGGCGCTCGTGATGCTGCCATGAGGTATGAAGTGTTTGATAGTTTGCTGCTTCCCCTTCGCCGTCACATTCTGGATGATCTTCAGGCCTTTGTGGGAGACCTGGCGAAATAGCCAATTACGTCGTTACTTTAAAAATTAATTCCTCTATACATATAATAAAAATGTAACTAATTGTTGTCCGTGTATGGCTGTCTTGGGGCTATTATCAACGCAATAGGACCCAAAACAATGATTGTTAAAAGTTTTGTCTGTTTATCTGTCTGTACGTTTGTGCGCGCTAATCTCAGAAAAGGCTTAACCGATCTGGGTGCAACCTTATTCACTAATGCATTGTAGTAAGCTTCACATTCATTGATAGTTTTATTAAAATCGGGTGATAAATAAAAATGTTATATCAACTTAAAGAACCACATTGAAGACGAAAAAATGCTATTTAATAACTACAGTCGAATTCGATGAAACTATAATTAACTGTATATTATAGTCAGGAAAATTATGATGATTGTAAGTTTATATAAAGTTAAAAAACCTTTTTTATACTGTTAGAATGACCTTGAACCTGATATTGGAACTTGATATTATAAAACTGAAGAGTTTGCTTCTTTAAATTCGTAATCTTAAGAATATATAGTCTACGTTCTAAGCAAAATATAAAATGTAGTACATGTGGGCGCAGTCGCGGGCGAAAAGCTATTACTTATGTCGTTCAGAGACGATTTTACAACTCTACTGTCAATATTCCTGTATCCAACACTCGATTATTAGACTAAAGATAATAATATTTTATTAAATAGCGGGTCCGATAACATTGACGAACAGTTATATTAAATAACCTCTTTATTATTATTATTGAGAAGAATTATTTTCATTGATGTCTGTTTTATCTGTCTAAATGATAAATGATATATGAAACTGAGATATTTCAGATTTGAAACGTAGTAATCACGTAAATACATAATCGACTAATGAATGCTTGATTTGTTCAACTCATAAATACTTTATTTGCTTTGGTCATGTCATAAATACTTGATTTGGTTACCTGTAGGGTAACTTTAAAGGGCTCCAAGTCCCTCGCTCGCTCCTCGAGAAGCCTTATGGCTGGCAAAGCGAATTCCTCGCCACGAAGTCCGCGCGATTCTTGAGCACCCAGAAACCACACGTAGTACGAGGCCTTCTTGATGTCCTTTTTTAATCGTAGTGCCATCTTGTAGGACTTCTATGTCATTGTTGGATATCTGTAACAACGATAAAGTAACCGTCAGATGAAATATAACATGTTTTTGAGTAAAGGAGTCGAGGAACATGGGTTCGATTACCACCCGAGACAAAGATTAGTATGACCTACAGACCTAACTGTTCTGGAAATGGGTCTGTAAAATGTGTCTACAACAAAGTAAGTGTTACAGCTTAGTTACGTCTGAGACTAGAAACTACGGATGATTCGAGGCCTGAACCCTCAGATTCAAATCCTTCTTGCAATTGAATTAATAAATTCCTTGTGCGAAAATGACCATTCCAGATTTTTCCCTGGCGTGAAACGTAATCGCTCTGTAATATTATATAGAACTACATATTATATATCTACACGTTGAGGGTTAAAACATGAAGTTCCAACGTAAAGAAGGAACAGATACCATACATTACTATCATTCTTCATTCTTTCTTTAATTGAAATCAGAAAAATGCAGCGCTGACAGCTGTTGTCTCCGCAATATTTCTAACAGCACGTAGCGTTTGCGAAATAAGGGCGGCGGCCTGCCGTCTAGATCGCTTAGTGTGGGCATTTGTTTACGTTTACGAATTCTCTCACGCGCTTGCCGCCGGCGCGGCTTCGGCCGTTCACGCGCCTTGACACAGTTTTTAATTGGCGAGGCGAAAAGCGCGCGAATCACTTATGTTTTAATACCATTAGCGTTTGGAAATCGCAGGCGAGATGCCTCGGTACGAGATACCAATGAATGAATACGCTTTTAAGGACGTGACATCTTCCCCGCAGATAGTTCGTGCTCAGTACAGAGTGGCACCGGTGGGTTCCGTAGGAGATCCAGTAGCCTCTCTCAACGTATGCCTTCTCTGTGGGTGAGCAACAAGGAGGTTTTAGTAGGTAGAAGCCCCACATAACCTAGTTGCTCCCAAGAGATAGGGTATCTTTTGAAGATTCGAAAAAAAGATACCATTGACTGCTTGTGGATCGTTGAGTGAATTGGGTAAAAAACGTGAAAGAAAATTGGTATGAAACATTTGAAATCTATTCTTCTTCTTCTTCTTCTTTTCTTTTTTGGCGGTTTTCAATGAATACGCCAATGAACACTTCTATATAATAATATTTATGTATAATAATATTTCTATGATGTCATAGTGACGTTGAAGATTAAAAATTAATAGCAGTGTTACATGACTAAATTTTTTCATATTATTTTAATATTACATTCGCATTTATTAAATAAAACTATTTTACGGGTTTTGTTGCGACCAACGTTCTCAGTCAGTCTCGTGGCCAAAAACTTTGCATAGTATTCAAAGCTTCTGAAAAGCAAGTTTTACGCGATAAATTCCGTATAAAAGTTTTTTTTAAATGTATAGTGTTCACGTAAGTTCAAGACATCGTTCTTGCATCCGGCATCCATAACATCTTCCGATACAATGAAGCAAGGAAACTTTGATTTGCAAGTAGTAAATTACGAATGTGAGAACTGAGCGTAAGCCATTGATTCTGTTGACTACAACTTTCACCGTCAGGTCATTTGCATATGAATATATGTTTAGGTACATACTTGCTTACTGTTATAATTCCTAGCTTCATGCATTCCAATAATGTTTTAATGGAATAATTTATTATGGTTAAATGTTTTAATGTGAATAATTGATTATGTTTTAAATATTTCAATGTGAATAATTGATTATGTTTTAAATATTTCAATGTAAATAATTTTATATCAAATTGACAATTGCATGCTGAAGTCAGCTGAATATGTTGCACCAAATTATTATAATTAAGATCACAATGTACTACCATATTCTGGCAATAAAGGCATTCATTCATTCAAAATAAACATAAATGGATCGCGAATCACGTCAAAATTTATATTTTCAGGTCGTATTTGAATACGTAAAGTGTAATGTCTTCAAAAGTATGTGACAACGCTATAACGGATTTCTGTAAGCCTTTAGCATTAAATAGCAAAGTTATAGAAACTGCGTATTACCCAAACTAATAAACATGATAGATAATCGTTCCGTATTCCTATTAATCGCGAATCATTTGAAATTGGTCGCGTAATATCGGTTGTTTCATGGCAATTTAATTCTAATCGCTTTGGTTATACAGCCCGTTTGGGCGTAAGCACAATGTTACGTGATGATGTGATTCCGTTTCCGTGTGTGTGCAATATGCATGATTTACAAAACGGCCAAAATACAAGTTGCAATGCGTTGCAAGGTAATTTGATTTGTTGAGTTTCTGCTTTTTATTGAGCATTGTTTCAATGCGATACTTTACGCACGCGCATCCGTAGTTGTCAAAAGAAGTTAAATGTTCCAAAACTTGTATATTACCCATTCGTGAGCATATTCGTTATGTACTATGAAAGTCATCTATAATATGTGGTCTTTATTATCTGGTGTTAATCTTTGTCGGTGAAATAAGTACCTACGATTGGTAAATTTCTTCCATAACCATAATCACTTTTGTGTACTCGGGTAAATACTGAAGCCATAAGCAACAAAAGCCTATTCATAAAATTAAACTTCATCAACGTAATAAGTTACTTTTAAGACTAACGCCCGGTTTCTGAAACACTGATCATCGTAGATGTCAACTAATCAACTGTCAAATGCTTTTCAAATTTCATTTGTGTAGCCAAAAGGATGGTTAAACTCTTTGAATTGATCATTCTGATCATTAAGAAGATCATTCAGGGCAATTCAGAGAGTTTAACCATCCTTTTGGCAACTAAAATGAAATTTGAAAAGCCATTTGACAGCTGATTAGTTGACATCTACGATGATCGGTGTTTCAGAAACCGGGCGTAAGACAAGAATATGTTGTTTTTGAAAAAAAATACCAATGATATTATATGCAATAGACATCACACTACCGCACCGAAACTGAGGCACTCAAATTACACCAATTGGTATAACTCTTTTCTTCTTCGTGGTGGTCTTCATTACTGAAGGTTGTGTCCGTCCTGAAAAATTATAAGAGAATTGGCGACGAGCTGCTTCCACGCCACTCTATCTTCGGCTTTCTTCAAGGCAGTGGAAACAGGAAACCCGGTTATAAGCTTCACTTGATCAGACCAACGGTCGCCCAGGTGGTCGTTTGCCATCCACTTCCCCAACTACAACCAGTTTTTCAAAATTATCTGGCTGCCTACGGGCGATGTGACCAAAACAATTTAGAATTCGTTGATAGCAAATTGTGGTGAGCCTAGTCTTAATATTTAGTTGGTCAAGAATGGACTTGTTGGTGCGTTTCGTTCTGTCCACGGTATGCGCAAAATTCTTCTCCAACACAACATTTCAAACGCTTCGATATTTTTCCGGTCCACTGCGCGAATTGACCAAGAAAAAGCCGTACAGAAATATCGCGAATACCAGCGTCTATCTCTTTCCGTATTATACGTTCTATATCATTTGTCACATTCACTTGTATATGTCATATAACGTAAAGCGGTACAATTTTTAAACGCCACGCGATACGGACATACGACAACTATATTATTAAACATCATTAGAAAATACTACTGTTAATATATCGCGTCAGATGCGGCATTTTAATGGAAAAACTCGTTGTAAATAAATAACTGCAGGGCCTCGAGCTCAGAAATGGCCCATCGTCGTCGGTAAAATGAACCGTTATATCGCTTGATGATATGCGAACACGATCTTACGTATGATAGACAACCGGTTAAGTGCGTAGCGACGTCAAAACGTCAAACGACACTTCGAATAATTTTAGTTCAATTAATCTCTATAAGGTATTATAGAGATTAATTGAACTGATTAATTGGAATTAGTATTGTTAGAAGCTCAAATGTTGGAGCTGGCAACACTGTATACCAGATATGACGTTATCTACTTGAGCCAAGGGACACATGGTCGCATGGAGCAGCGGTCACTGGGATTTCGGCCGCGTTCCCGGACGGTGATATAACCACTAGTGCTGCTTGTCCTTATAATAGTTGGTAATATTCAAGTTCAGTAATAGTTAAAATATTAGGATCAAGGTAAAAACGTTAGAACTCTTATACACTATAGTCCAATTTTTTTTATATGAAAAAGTGGCAAACTAACAGGTGGTTCAACCGATGTTAAGTGATAACCGCCGCCCAAGGACATATGCAACACACGTATGGTTGCAAATGCGTTGCCACCTATAAATAAACTAGGCCCTGGCTACCTCACTCACCAGACGAAACGCAGAAGTAACACTTCTACTTTACGCCGGTCTTCTGTGAGGTCGTGCTACTTACCCGGACGGACCTGCTCATTCGTGCAACAGTGAACACTGTTGCGTGGTCCTAGCACAGTTAAAATATAATAATGTGAATTAGCTAGTTGTTCTATAAGTTTTACAATTCAGTATCGTCTTGAAAGTCGCAACCAGTCGGCTACTTTACATACATTTTCTGTACATGTTGAGACAAATATTTTGCTTTGTAGTTTTTGCGTATTTATTTCTCTTATGCCACCTTTTTTAATTCAAAATCATTCAATGGGATACCGATACTTTGATTTTAGGACTATTACAATAAAATTAGACAAAAACTCTGATAAGCTTATGAGTAATCATCGTATCGGCTTAAATTATGGTGGGTTATATGTGGCTTAAACAAACAGGTGATCCAGTTTTAAGTTTTTCCTATCATCTAGTTTGTGTTACATACACAAACTAAGGTAAGTGTATTAAAAAAGTCAGGGAATTAAACATTAATATCATCACTTGATGAGCCACAATTTTCTTATTTAAAAGCTTTGCTTTTCATGAGGCTTTAAATGTCGATTATGGAAGTTAATAAAAATCAAAATTTCGAATATATGATATATTAAATGTGACTCATGATGTTTCATGTCCTATAAGTCCGAATTAAATTACATTAACTGTGATGTGCGTAGTTTAAAAGTTGCTTATAGCATATATGAATAATTAATGTTAGCTTTGAAACATTGAATTCACGTCAAATTCACGTCACGACGTAAACA